CAATGTCCACGTTTTATTCTTCATTAGAGAAGCATATTGATCTTTCATGGAATTGAGCCAATGAGGCTGAGCTAAGGCCTGAGCTACATATGTTGGTTCTAATGAAGTAGTGTAGAGACGAGGCTTGAATACACCAGCTTTTGCTCTAGTTATCATGGAATGATTATTTGTCAAGGGAGCATGATCAGCAACAAGATCAGTAGCAGTAGATGGTAATTGTAATGGAGCAAGATTATTAGCAGACCTGCAAAAAGAATTTGAACCAGATGGCAAAGTAGGTACAATACTGTTAAAGGTGTTAGTGGAAATTGCAACATGTGAGTCACTCAATGGTAATGAAGGAGTAATGGTAGGAATGAATGGTGTATGATTTGGGATGGATGATGTGGTTTTAGTTAATGGTTTGTCTGTAATTTGTTTATAGGGAAAAAGATGCTCATCAAAAATGACATGTGGAGTAATAACTATTTTTCCATTTGGTGTGAGACATTTGTACCCTTTATGACAAGGACTGTAGCCTGGAAAAGTACATTGAGCTGACCTATAATCTAGTTTGTGAGCATTATAAGGTCTGAGATATGGATAACATGCACATCCAAAGGTCCTGAGAAAGGTATAATCTAGTTCTTTTGCAAACAGGAGCTGATGGGGAGAGATATGGCCAAGGTTAGGTGATGGAAGAAGATTGATAATAATGCATGCTGATATAAAAGCATCTTCCCAGAATCTTTGTGGCAAGAAAGAGGTGGCAAGCATGGATAAACCGGTTTCAACAACATGTCTGTGTTTGCACTCAGGTGTGCCATTTTGCTGATGAATGTATGGGCAGGATAATCTATGGATGATACAATGGGTTTAAAGAAAAGGTTTGAGAGCTAAGTATTCTTTTGCATTATCAGTTTGTAGGGCTTTGAATTTGGTGTTAAGTTGAAGTTCAACCATGGTTTTGAATTGAATGAAAAGAGAAAGTACTTGGGATCTGTTCTGCATAGGAAAGAGCCAAGTGTATCTGCTGTAAGCATCTATAAAACAGATATAATATCGAGAACCATTATTGCTATTAATTGGAGCTAGTCCCCAAACATCTGAATACACAAGGTCTAATGGATTGTGATATGTATTTACAGAAGAAGAAAAAGGTAATTGGTGCATTTTGCCCATACAACAAGGACCACAAACAATTTTATTTTCATTTCAAAAAGGAATTTTACAATGAGTAAGAAAGGATTTTACAGTTGAAAAGGAAGCATGTCCTAATCTAGTATGCCATAGCTCGAGATTTGAGTTGCATTTATTTGTAGAAACATCAGTTTCTGTTTGAACTTGAAACACGGAATGGTTGGAAGCAGAATGCTTGGGATACGAATGCTTGGGATGTGAAAGTGTTTGTGCTCCTTCAAAAGCATATAGACCACCTTTAAGCTTTCCTTGGAGAAGTGTCTCCTTGGTAGCCTGTGATTTGACATAGCAACTATTAGCATGAAATTCAAAAAATACATCATGATCTTGAGCAAATTGTGAAACACTCAAAAGGTTCTTTGACAGTCCAGGTACATGAAGCAGGTTATTTAAAGGAAAGGATAATGACTTTGATGATGAATGTAGTAAAGAGTGACCAATATGTTGAATTTTCATACCTGCACCATTACCTACTTTGACATTTTCTTGCCCTTTGTAAACAGATTTAGAGATCAGATTTGATTCATCTGGTGTAAAGTGATTTGTGGCACCTGAGTCTGGGTACCAAGTTGGATCAAAGGCTATGTAGAAATTAGTGGTGTCATCTTGATATGTTGATGTACTGGCAGTTGTAACATTTGCCTGAATTCTTGAATTCGATGATTCTCCCTGTTTTGATCTGTTTTGTTGCTGAAAAGGATTTGCATAGCTTTGATTGAAACGATTGTAACATTCAAAGCCTATATGGCCAAATTTACCACATACTTGGCACTGTGGTTTGCCAAACTGCTGATTAGTTCTAGGTCCATTTCTGCCAAAACGGCCTCCGTTGTTGAAAAATCTGCCTCTATTAAAGTTGAAACCTCTACCAGAATTATTTCCATGAGATCTTCTGATGTTCATCTGAGCTATGTTAGCTTGTAGCACTCCAAGATCACTTTTCTTGTGCTTTTCAATGCGTTCTTCTTGAGCCATTAATAGAGCTTCAATTTCACCAACTTTATATGGATCTGTTCTAGAAGTAACAGAAGTGATGAAATGATCATAGTCTTCACCAAGACCATCAAGAATTGCATCAATATGCTCCTCTGTAATAATTGAAGAACCTGTTGCTGCTAAAGAATCTACAATTTTCTTGATTTCTATCAAGTATTTGGAAATTGAAGAATCTTTCTTGATGTTTTTCAGTTGAATTTTCAATTGCTTTAGTTTGGCTCGAGTTTGAGAAGTAAAGAATTCTTGAAGTTTGCTCCATATTTGGAAGGAAGACTTACATCTTACCATTCTTGTATGTAATGATTCTGACATTGAAGCAAGTAACCAAGACATGAGAAGCTGGTCTTGCTGCTCTGCAGAATTTTCAACTTCATCAGTGATGAATCTTTGTAAATTGAATCCTTTTATTGTTGCTAAAGCTTGTTGCTTTCATGGAAGAAAGTTTCCTTCTTCAAGTTTGAATGACACAGGATTAGAAAAGGTATGGAGTGTAAATTGAATCGGCTGAGTTGGTTGAGCGAAAGAGTTTTTTGTCTCCATGGATCTTGGCTCTGATACCATGAAAGGTATCAGAGAATAAGAGAAAGAAGAGTTGAGAGAAGAGAGAATCTGTATTGTATTGAAAGATCAGAATATTACATTGTGTTGGACTAAGCCAAGAGTACAAGTATTTATACAATTATGATTAACTGATAACTAACTAAATCTGTTATAACAACTAAGCTGAATATAAGAAAGTAGTTAGATCATTTAACAGATGAGTCAGCATCTATTCTTTCCACAACATAAAAATTAACTTCCGATAATCCGAACCCGAAGATTGTTGCATATTCAAAGTGACAAATTTTTGCCGGCACGCACAATAGGCTACTCCATCACTAAACTCGACCACCTAATTTTAGGTTTGGCACAGTTTGGTTCGGCATTCAAAACCAAACCAAACCCAATTGGAATCAAAACCAAACCAAACCCAATTGGAAATGGTGTTCAACTTTTTTAAACCAAACTATTTTCGTTTCATATGAAATAAAAGTATAAAACCAAACCATATTAATTGGTTTTGTCAGTTTAGTTAACCAGATTTAAACAAATCGGTTTTGGTTGGTTGTGACTTCAACCAGTTCAGCTTTATACAAAGAACTCTCAGTCTTTCTCAATTCAGCTTCTAGATGTAAATCCAACCGGTGTTGAAGTCGTAACTGAAGAGTTCCTTCTCGTCGGGGCCGGTGAAGTCCTCAGACCAACAGAGATAAAGCCAAAATAACAATGGAGCAGGAGCCAAGCTTAATTAGGACAAGAAAATTCGAGACAAACTTTATTAACTTGGCCAATTGAAGCTCTGGTTAAACTTGTTACAATTTATGTTTTCCCTTCGTTCTGTGTCTAAAGGTTACGATTTTTCTGTGATAAATTAAAAAATAAAAATAAAAAAACTCTCATATTACATGAAATAAAATTATCCCATACAACACATAAAAAAAATAAAATCTATTTTTTTTTTCTCTCTTCTCCTTAATAGTCCCACCCACTTTTCTTATGCGTTGTTTGGAAAAGTTCGCTTATTGGTGTAGCACTTTAATTCAGTTCATGATTTGGTTTCGGTTCACACGGGATTTTTGTACACCCCTGCCTAGTTGGTATAATGACATTGACGGCAAATCACATAGCATCAACAAAAATGAATGCAAAACATGGTCGACATTTAGCAGAGGAGTAACAGAGACGTTGAAACACTTGAAAACCGTGGGTCACACCCTCAAAACCTGTAATTCACCAAATTATATATCAAACTTCGTAAGCAACACTGATGATCTGTGACTGCCTCTCAAGTACGCGACATTTTGACTTTAAGTGGTACACCTGCTTATAATCTTGTTCATTTGCACTTTTAGAAGAGCTCCATTAATTGCTGGGAGACATCTGCATCAATGTGAGAATCGATATTAATAACTAATAAAGGAAGATTCAAAATACTGAAGTTCAGTCACACATTTTCAAGACACTTCATCAGAAATGGGGTTACAAGATGCAAAACTATATTTTTTTATGATCTAAATTTTAAAATACTAGCTAAACAGAAATTTTTAGTAGTCGGAATGAAATAAAAAGATTGACCTCAAAAAGATTGCTCCTCATTTTTTATTTTTTATTTTGGAAAACAAATTGTTCAACTTCCACAAGATAATAATATTGCTTAATTTTTTCCTGCACAATACTTATCCTAATTAATCTATCTTACTGAACTGCAATTCACTTATCTATTGCAACTGAACCAACCATTTCAAAACAGAATAATAAATCCAACAGTCAATATTAAAAGAGGGAAATGGGTGCAGGGTACCCTGAAGAATGGATGGTGTTGTCTGGAACTCTTGCCAGATATTCTGATAAGCAGCAAGATCCATGTTCAGAAACTTGGCAGCAAGATATGTAGCTCCAGCAGCAATATGATGGGGTTTAAATTGAAGCCATAGAGAGCTCCGAAGCCTGCAAAACAATTTTCAGCATCAGAAGACCATACAATACGCACATCATTACTGCCAGCATTGCTCAACACAATTATAGAGATACAAAATAGTTAAACTAACCATCCCAGGCAACACAAACAGAAGATTCTTGAACAACTTAGCATATGTTCCCACCATGACAGATCATGTCAGCTATTAAAATGAGCAGTAATATGAACTAGATAATACAAATAGTATTCAACATTCATACCAAGTGGAAAACACAAATTTATTAACTGTTCCTTACCAACTAGAAAAGCAGCAACTCAGGAAGAATACTAATCCAAGAATCTGAGCAGGATTGCTGATAAGAGTACCAAACTATAGCATTATCTTATACTCATTTAGAGAATATATCAGACTTCCAGACCCAACTCTTCTGTGGGGGCTCTAAACTCCGAAAATTTATGCAATTAAAACATGAAAGCATGAATGGAGAGCTGCACATAGCAAACAATTGAATCATTCAAAGCAAATGCCACTGCCACATCTTCTCAATATTTTGACCTGGAGAGCCTTTCTACCTTGCACATTGGAATGCTTACAATGAATGCAACTTATTCCACACTACAAAATAATTCTCAAAATCCAATCAATGTCCATGTTGCCCGTGCAAATTGAAATTTAAAAATCATTAAAAATACGAAACATAAAAAAATGGGAGAAAAGAAAAGAAATTTTGAATTACCCTTGCTCTAAAAGAAAAAAATGAAGCAGAAAGCTTGTTGATGATTTTAGTACAAACTTATTGAATTTTTACTACAAGGTTAGCATACATACAAGACACGAGGGCAAATCTATAAAGTTTGATTTTAGTCTGTGGTAGAAAAATATACCCTGTTCTAGCACTTTCATTTGGTTCAAGAGTAGGGAGGTCCTTATTGTGACCTGAGAAAGTAAGAGGAATGGTATTCAGGGTGATGGAACATTATGCCCGATATTGCAAACGACGGTGTCACGTAGTGGAAATAGTGGTTGGGTGCTGCTACCCACCACCACAAGCAAACCTCCGGATCTAAAAGCATGAGTGGTACAAGCAAGCTAACCTCAACCAGTCTAGCACTATTGTTATCAAAACCAAATTTGCACATAATAACCCTATAAGTGGAACAATGTCAGATTATGACAAGAAAATTAGACTGCACAGAACCACTATGTTACAGCCACCTAAGATACCAATTGCACCATTTTTTGATGTGGATCAGAGATAAAAACAGGAACTGGAAACAAAAAGTTCCTCTTTTTCTCATTACCCTTCAATGTTGAGCACAGGAAAAAGATGGAGTACATTATCATTTTCACAGTAGTTGTGAAGAACTTTCCGAAGCATTCAGGGTCAACATTATTGTTTTAAAATACAATCAGAGAAGAGAAGGATAAAAACAAGAAGGGCTGCTCACAAAACACCATAGCACTTGTGCAAAACTTTTTTGAGCAATGGAGGTCTATGTCATCTTTAAGCCAAAAGAAGAATAGAAGGGAAAAGAGGACCTCTGTCCACAGCCCATCCAACATGTGAACATTTGAGCAATTTAACTCCAAAGGAAGCAACCTTTCTTTTATACATAACATATTCAAATTTAGCAGGCTCTCCATACAAACGCGTGACACTGTTCTACAATTAGAATTGATATTTCATGAAGAGGCTGGGCCATTCAAATTATAATAAAGATCAACCACTCCAACCAGTGGCATTTCAAAGAACTAACACTGGCGTTTAAAGAAAAAAACACTCGATGCCAAATGATGTGAAGAATGAAAGCAAAATATGCGCCAGCTTCAGAATAATGCTTGAATCTACAAGGCATGCATCATATACTGGGAATGATATAGGAAAGTACAAAATTTAAATAAGATAAACTGGCTACAACGTTTCTAGACACAAAAGCATTAAACCCCAAAAAGGAAAAAACATTTGCTGAAAAAGAAAATGTTTGCTACAATGTGCATTTTCTGAAAAAATTAGTGCATGCACTAGTTGCACCAGAGCAAAGAAATAATCAATTGGATACAACCACATTTTGTTTGGGGGTACATAAACAGAAATATATTCAATAAACATATTGAAGAGCTTCTATAACTAAGAGAGGAATGACTACAAACATACAGGAGAAGGTATCATCCCAAAATCACATGGAATTACTACTAAAATCATTGATTGATATAGTCAAGCATCTAAGCTTTAGGACATCTATTTCAAAATTAGAACATATAAATGCAAACTAATTGCTTCCCATTTCATGTTTTCAACATCATAAATAATTTTGGCTGCAAGCTAGGTTCACACAGAGGAAGACCTTACAAAATCATTGACTACAATGCCTGACTATCAAGAGTGGATCCCTAGTAATGTTAAAACTGAAAAATCAATTGCTAAAAGGAAGTAAAGTTCTTACAATTTTGAGTTATTTCCTGTTCCCAATGAGCCAGTCAAATCTTAAATTACAAATTTAATAACTAGACTTAATGTCAATGAACAATGAAACAAGTAACCATTTAAAAGGGCGGAAAATCTAAGAGATTAACAGGACCAAGATAATTAAACTTTTGTTAAAAAAATGGTAAGGCTAAAATTAGAATAATAATGAAGGCCCAAGATGCTCAACACCTAATGTAAAAATTTAAAGAGTTTAACTTTGATACATTGTCAGTATAAAATTTTGAAAATTGTCATGCAATCATTTTTGACACATCATTAAGAAGGTAGTTGTCATGGTCAAAATCTCTTCCTCATATGTCAACAAATGACCGGATGAAAGTGTAAAAAGGCTTATACGTTATAAGTGGATCAATATTAAGCCCAAATTAAAACACCTCGGAAAAAGAATTAAACAAATCTAAACTTATCCATTTGAGTTTCCAAAAAATTCAAAGTGGCTGGAAATCAGGGAGAAATTAAGACAACTCGCACAAACCCGAAAGTTGGCTGGCAATAATAGTGACCACAAAAAGATAATTTTATTAGCAGCTGATGCACGAGAACAGTTTTCCTCCAAATCAATTTATAGACCAAGTGGAAAGGTTTTCTTTCATTAAAGGAAAAGAGAATAAACAAAAACACAGCACCAGCAGAAGGACTCTGTCAAGTGAAAACAAACCAGCAGCAGAAAAGACCTCTGTTTTCCTCTACATAATAAATTGACGGTAGTTGGAAAGCCCAATTTTGATTAATGGGTAATGGCTAACCAAAATCTGTTCCTGACAATAAAAAATTCGGTCTATATTTGAACTTCAGACTCTTGCTTCTTTTTTTCCTTCCTGTAGGTTTTTTATTGTCAAATCACTTCTATGATCTTTTTTCCACCCACGTTTACTAAATATTAAAGAGAGCACATTTGGCTAATGGTAATCAGCTTAAACTACAAGGCATTGAGGGTTAGACAGAAACTCTGGGTTAGGGGCTTGGGACTCTTGTAGCTATCTTGGATAGCCCAAAGAAGAGTTGATAGGACATATTAAAGGTAAAACAATCCATTACACATCAGTAGTTCACTTCAGATGGAAAACAAAACTTTCCATGAACAGCATATCAATCCGCCAGCTAAGAATATCATACAGGCCAGCACGCTAATCTTGTGAATATCCTGCAGTTATATGCATGCCAAAAGAATCAATATCCCATGACAGAATAACTACACAGAGAAGTTCGGCTAAAGAAAAATATTGAGAGAATCAAACACTATTCTGAACCAAAATTTAGAAGGGGAGACAGCAAGGTATCTTCCTCAGCCACTAGATTTCCAGATCTCAAGACATGCTATTGCTTGAGACTTAACACCCAACACCCCATGACCTGTTTCCTAGACTATGTTTTTTCATTCCAGTCACTCTGATAGATAACGAGAGGCTGCCAGTCAGAACCAATGAATGGGATATCTGAAGGGGACACCAGCCAACAGCTCAGAACATATACAAATTTGATTTGAGCCACAACTAGTTTTTCCCTCAAATGAATGGCTATAAACAAACATCACCATTGCAATCATAAAGGTATAAGATTAAAGATTACGAAAACTCACCCTTCACTGACCAAGTTTAATGCCAGATTCACCAAAACAGTCTTTGATAGACCTAATTTGTTAAGAACAGAAGTAAGAGGTGCATATGGATGTTGCACATTGAGTTCAAAATTTAGAGTAGTAAGTATCAACTGTTCAGCCTCAAGCACCCGCTCACGATACTGTTGAAACCAATCCTGTCAAACAACTCAAATCAAGTTAATATAAATGAAAATTACAGTTGAAGTTTAACTAGTATTCAACTATAAGCCAGACAGAAGGACCTATCTAAATTGACTTACTTGAGCTAAAATCATATTCGAAACATGATATCTATCCAAAATTTCATGGTGAATTGGCAAACATATCCAAGGGTAATTTTATAGACAGACCAGGCATATCCATATACAAATTAATAGAGGCTATTATTCGGTAGAGGTGGCAAAGCAGGTCAACCCGTATCGTCTATAACTTACAAAAACCGGGCAAGGCAGGTTGACCCACTTTCTCAAAATAGATTGAAAACACCAACCCACCTTTTTTTATGACGGGTCAACCCACCTAAATAACAATTAAAAAAACTAAAGAATAAAACCCTTTCTTCTTCTCATGCCCGAGCGCAAAAGTTTCCATCAGAATGAAGCCAGTTCACACGCTTGACCCAGTGAATTCAATAATTTGCAATATTGACACAAGATTTCCTACTCTTCACAAATTCCTTAAAAAGATAATAATTTAAAATATTAATATTTAATAAATTGTTCCAGGAAGAAAAATTCAAACCAAGATTATATGGACACACTTCACTGTTGTCCCCACATTAATTCTTATATGTTGTCATCACCACATTGATTCTGATATAGTGGCGCCGCTTCAATAGCAAGGGTGATTATCATGTGTATTTACTCTTCTGACCTCTTCTGATTCAACTCCTCCTTTGCCATCCTTTTTAACCTAGTTTTCATCGAATACGGCTTTCTCAGATTTCAAGTAATCTCAGAGGCAGCTTGATCGGATCTCGGAGGTTTCAGTCCATTCTAGACCAAAATCACCAATTTCTTTCATGGAACAATTATCAGTCACCTAGAGGCTTTACTACAAAGGTATTATTTGTCTCCTCAAAGCTTTTAGTTCAGTTTTTATGAGTGGTGTGCATGTTTAGGTCGTTGAAGCTGTCTGCTGCAGAGAATCATAGGTCTTCTACGAAGGTTTCTGTGCTGTGTGCATTTGTCTGGTGAGAGTGGTGCCTACTAATTCGTAGGTTGTCATAACCGTCTGCAGCAGCAAGCACGGAAGGGGAAAGAAATCATAGAATTGGGTGAAAAAACCCTAACCCAACAGACCACTAGCCCCACCCCAACCTGTTATAACCCATATTTTATGTGAGTCAGGTTATATTGTTGGGTTAATTTTTGTGACCCAACACGTCAAAAGTGACAGGTTAAAAAAACTGACCAGATAGGTCAGACCTGTTTCGCGAACCCTATTATTTGGTGTTTTTTCCAAGTCTTCCACAGTTAACATAATATAAAAGAGGATGAAATTCAAGGTAGTTTGAATTGTACTCACAAGAGGAAACTGGTAGGACAAAAGAGCAAAGTCCTGTTTATGTAAGATTTCATAGGATGCTCTCAACACTTCATTCAAAGGGCGTGGAGATTCCTCTGACTTTGCAGCAAGAAAAAGAGCAGCAGTAGCAATCAACTGCAGCAAAGATCAAAATTAATAAAAACACAGCTTGGTTATACAAGTGCAACTTGAAGGAACAAATTACTCATACCATTGCACAATTATTTAAATAAAATACCAAGCACTAACACCATCATACAGATCCACAACAAAATTTCTGTGCATATCTAATCCTAGAAAAAATTCCATGAATGTTGTAGTTTTCATTGAAGTATTTAGGGAGAAAGTTAAAACATGTATTTAGAGCAAGAGGACAATTTAAAACTCACAAATCTGTCATGGCAAGCATGTGATCGTCGAACAAAAAAACGATGGCACAGAACCATGGCTGTCCCAATGGTGGTTTGAGGCCTGAAAAGGAACATGTGATAATTTTATGCTGGTACTAACTAGTATCAGGAAATGAATTAAATCCACGAACCAAGATCATATAAGAATATAACTAGTTAAGTTCTCTTAAAACAACTATAACCATGTGGTCAATGATGTGAGTCTTACAGCTCAAGCCGCATTCCAAGATTCTGAAGGAAGGCACAATAGGAGTACCGCAAGTATGTCTCATGACGTACATCAATACCATCTTTTCTTGATGGAGAGTATCTATCAATCTCATCCCTTGACAAAAAGACTGGCTTATCATCTTCGAATATAGAGCAATCACCCTTGCTACTAGCTGATGTAGAGGTATCAGCATTGGATATTGTAGGGGGAGCTTGAAAAATACAGGATGAGGGTATATTGTTATGGACTGTGGAAGGAAGATAGTATTTCTGGCTTTCTTCCCAAGCAGGAACTGAATATTTTCTCCTTTTCAAAGATAAGGGGACAACATCACACTTAACATAATTAGCATGATCCACCTTGTAAAAATTAAGGTTGTCATCATAAATGTTATAATTCTTGTCATAATAATTGTTCCTGCTTCTTTTTCTATTGGTGTTGCCAAAGTTGTTTCCATCATAGGTGGACCAATAACCACTACATAAACTACTATCTTCTGCTTGAAAATTCTGCACAAAAGACATAATTCCTGCGAAATCATATAAACCAATAAAATTAGACATACAATTACATGCACTTATAATCTCATCACAACAATGTCAGGGATAACAAACAAAACAAATCATTTGTTATTTTATTTGTATGCTGCAATAAACCACCACAACAATAAAATTCCGATTTCATCATAGGCCCTCTGGCAAGTAGTGTTCAATTATAAGAGAAAAAAAGTTTAAAAATAACAATTCTAGCCATAACAAACCCAACTAATATTTATAACGAACTATGATTTGATATCGATTAATAAATCATCCATATGAGGGTGTTTTGCATTCCCATGATAGATTATGGCGGGAAAAAAAATTGTCTTTGGAACATAAAAAGTCCAGGAACTGAAAACCTAGTATGTCATCCCAAAATAACCACACAAAAAAACACACACAATTACTATATGATTTATAGCATCTGATGCGAAAGAGAACCAAAAATAAACAGAACTGGAAATTTAACTAAGCGAATCTGGTCGAACATGAATTTTGAAATTAAACAAAATCATAAACTAAAACAATCGTGAAAGAACAGAATTGGGAGGCACACCTGAGAAAGCAGCAAAACCGATCTGGTGAATTGAGATTAAAGAGAAATTAGGGCTTTAAAAAGAACGGATGAGGAATAGCTTGTATTTGAAGCTCAAAAAGCAGAAAAGGAAAGATAATCTAAAACGGCAAGCAGTATCGACATTTTAAAAGTTTGGTCAGCATGCTCAAGCTCAACCGCTTTTTGTTTTGCCCTTGTTACCTACTACTTTTCTTTCTTTCTTTCTTTCCATCGATTTATATATTGGAAAAAGTGTCTATACATTTAAATTACACAACTTACATTCTTTCACTCTCACAAAGAGGTGGGACCCACAACTTTATTTTTTTTGTCAACTCTCTCTCCTCCTTTATCTATCTCTTTCTCTCTCTTAAAATGACACAACTTTACATCCTTCAAAATTATACACACTTTTCCCTTATATATTTGTATATAAAAAAAGGGTAAGTTTTTATAGTATAGGTGATAATATTATCTCTTATATATACATAAACGTATATGACCTAATGTGAAAAAAAAAGAAAAAAAAAACATAAACATCGTATGTTTCTAGGGAATAAGAGATAATTTTATCTCTTACAACTAAAGAGATATTAAATCCAAAAAATATAAGAAGAAAAAAGTCAAAACCCATGTTATTAGCTGCATAATTTTTACCTTTATATTTTTTATTATTATTTACTCTTTAGGTAAAAAATTTCATCCAAATCTATATTTAATATCATTAAATATTGGATCAGTATATTCATTTTGCCTCATAAGTATTAAATAAATTATAAAAGAGGTAAGTGATTAAAAAAATAAGAGTATCAATAATATAAGAATAAATTATATTGAACTTTTGAACTTTTCCTTTACAACAAATTAAAATATAAAAAGATTGTTGTGAGAGATAATTTAAATTTTAAGCAAATAAGTTAATGAGATATATGATAATTGCACATAGAGAAATTCTATTCAACATACACTGAACTTTATATCCCAAAAAAAAAAATTAACGTTATGATAAAAAAAAAATATAAATTGAAATGAATGTCGTTATGTTATAAGAGCACTCTTGTGCTTCTTAAATAAGGATTAGAGACGATGTAAAATTTTTAGTTTTTTATTTTTTGAAAAGTAAACATATTTGTTTATAATTTTTTATTTCTATTATTTTAATCTTCAATTTGTTTTAAATATTAGTTTTAATTATTATTAAAAAATTAAAAACTAAAAATTTAAACCATTAGGATAATTAATATGTTAGATGTCATATATAATGCAATGTCATTTTTTCTTTAGCAACCATCTACTTGTATACTAGTAATATATTCGAATACAACAACTAGCAAGCATAACATGTGATCAAGGTTGCACACAAATCCTCTATTTGTACAGGTCATACACCTTCAATAGCTTTTCAGTTCCACATCGAGGCAAGTCTTTTCATTTTTTAATTTTTGTAAAAATAAAGTTCAAAAAGCCCTATGCGGATTATTCTTTTATCACTTATTCCCTAGTATTTTTTTTTTCTAATGGTTTATCTAGCTTGTGTTTTATTTAATGTTCATGGGGGGAAATGGACATACTAGCCCAATATTTAAGAATATTAAAAGTAGATTTGGATGAAAAAATTATAGAAAAACAAGTGATACAAAAAATTATTTGAGGTAAATGATTATGGCAATGTTTTTTTTTTAACTTTTCCCTTATTTTTATTCACATATTTTCCTATGGAATATTTTTGCACGTACACAAAAGCCATCCAAAGATACTACTAACAGTTTGCACTTACAATTTATTAATCTGAGAAGCTTATAGCTAACGATATTAAAGAGTAGATTTAAATTTCTATTCTAACACATTTGTGATTTCAATGGTATTGTCGGAGAGATTGCCAATTTTGCTGCTTATGCATTTGCTCCAGCTAGGTCACCCATCTTGGTGCTCTTAGCATCGTTATCAGGCATGATAAAAATTTAGCGCCAAATTGATGCTTGATTGACTCTTGGTAAATTTTGATTTGTGATGTTGTCTTGCAGTGCTGCTCTTGCTCATATTATTTTATGGGAGAGGCTACATATATTTGGAATTCCTGATTGTGCTTTGTGTATTGTCGGGTATACGACAATTATTCTGCATGCACCTCAATAACGGTTAATTTAATCAGTGAGAGAAATATGGAATCTTGTTATGGACATAGGTAGCCATGTTCCTACCTGAAATATTACTCTCTTTACTCAAAATATCATGCTAACAGGTCTCTGGCTCAATAGTCAAATCTCCTAACCGTGCAGGAAAAAAGATCACGATGCAATACATAAAGTTAACAAATGCCAACAAGAAATTTGTAATTGGATCAAACTTCTCAATTCAACAGGGCATAATGGAATTTTTAAATATTTATCACTATCCCCCCTACAGAGTATGCAGAAAAACAATCTGCTATTGTTAGCAGTGACATCACCCATGTCCTCATTTTTTACTCAAGAAGATAATGATCAAAACTGGAAACATTAGTAACTATGGCACACATAACTTTCCAATGAGAAGTATACGGGAACCAACAAAATCATATGGTCTTTCAACAAGTGACAAATGATTTATCTTGCTTCAAGGCTTTACATTTGGGAACATGAATACAAGAATAGATGTTAACGAACGGAAGTTCAATACTTCAATATAGCATATATATATATATAAAAAGGAGAGTTCAATGTCAAAACTTCGCTGATGTGTCATAAATGTTTTAATTTTCCATGTTATCATAGTATGCAGCTTTTCTACATCACTTTCACGTCAGATTCTAAGGCAAAGAGACAGAAACAAAGCCCCAACCAAAAAAAATAAAAATTCCCCGAACATCATCCTGGCATCTTCATATTAAAAAACCAAAAACCCTCTTCTTTTTTTGGCACATAGATTAGTCAATCACTGTATTTTTGTTTTTGAATGAAAGAGTTCTTGCAATGTGTGATTGCTCCTTGTATTGCATTATTCATCTCTTCCACCGTCGAAGTGTCACCGGATAATATCCTACCGGAAAGCATACCGGAGTGGCTCGGCGATGATCTCGTCGATGAAGGACAGCTAGAAACGACGCTTTTCCTACGGAGAGGATATCTCAAGTTTCCTGAGAAAGAATGAGAAACCACACTCTTTGTTTCTTTCCTCTCGTTAATTTCCTTCGTGGATATCTCTGTTTTGGTGAACAGAGACGGCACTGTTCTCTGTTGTTCTTGTTGCTTCTGTTTGAGTGACAGCTTCTCGTACAATGGCTTCACCTTCTTCGTATACTTCCTGATAACCTCTTTGACAGTGTTGCTCATGCGCTTCACCGAGGACCCAGAAACGCTTTCTGGGTGGGGGGTCTTGGGGTTATGTTTGCGGAAAACAGAGGAGAATCTTGAGAAGGAGAAGTGGTTGGTGGTGGTCTTCTTGTTGTGAAGGCGCTTGAAGTCGTCATCCTCTGTTACTGTTACGGAGCTGGGACGAAAGGAGTCATCGCAGTCAGGGAATAGAGCGAGGTCGCTGGTGAAGGAAGATTGTGAATCGGTGGAGTCGCGAGCGGCGGAGGAGGTGGTGGTGGAGGTGGAGGTGGAGGAGGAGAGGAGGAGATTGCGGACCATGGAGATGCGGGGAGAGAGGTGGAGAGGGAGGAGTCGGCCCTTGTAGAAGAGTTCATCGGCGGGGGAGAATGATTTGCGGGGTGAGATGGAGATGGTGAACTCGAAATCTGAGGAGGAAGATGATGACGATGAATGAGATGGTGATGGTGGAAGCGTGTAGGATTTTGCTTCTTTCCCTCCTCTTGTTCTCGCCATCTCTACACTACACTGCATGGACAGAGTTTTGAGACTTTTGAGTTTGAGTGTTGGTCACTTCGATTGTGCAATTAATTTATAATACTCTGAGGAATGGTCAACGCTTCTGAACTAAATTATAGCGCAGGGGTGGCGAGTAATCAGGACGCTCCCCCACTTCCACCGCGTAAAGTATAATCCATGTTTTTGGCAATTTTTTTAATTAAATAGCCTTTTTTCTTGATACATTAATTGTGATTAGTATATTAATTAAATAGCCTTTTTGCTTCATTTTCTTTTTTTGATTGTGATCGTTACATTAATCCACGCGTAAAGTATAACTTTTGATTGCACCAATCACAATTAATATACCAATCACCGATCATTTCGAAGGCCATAACTTTTGATTCAAATATTAAAATCAAATTTGTTTATTTATTTCACGTAACTTTTTGAAATTTACGCAATGATATCTCATTTGACATATTTTATCTCTCACAAACATCGTTCGAATTTATAACAATGGTATCACAAACAATTAATATATCAATAACCAATCACAATTAATGTACCAATCAAAATTAATTGTGATCGGTACATTAATTGTACCGATCACAATTAATTTAAACAAATTAATTCAAATGTAATTAAAGTAAATTTAAACAAAATACATCAAATTATAAATTTATATCTTAAATATAATTATATTTCAGGAATTTACTTAAATTTATATAATCCGTAAACATAATTTTTTTGTTATTTTGAATTTATTTTTTAAAATTAAAAGTTAAATAAAATTTATATAAACATGAATTTGTTTGTCATTCACTTATTCTGTTGGATTTTTTATTATATTTATTATATATTTTCATATAAATTTGATTCAATTTTTAATTAAAAATAAATTTAAAATAATAAAAATCAAAGTAGGTTGAAAGTTTATATTTATAGATTACACATATATAATAGTTCATATTGTATAATTATTTCTGAAATTCAAATTTATAATTTAATGTATTTTAGTGATTTTGTTTGAAATTGCATTTATGATATATAATAAAGGGTTCGTTTTTTCTACGGTCACTGCAGATAAGTTGTCTGCAGTAAACCCAATACGATGTCGTTTTGGGGCAGAAATCATGGTGTTTTTATTATTTTAATTTATTTTATAGTTTTTATAATTATAATTTTTAATTTTTCAATTTCAAAACGACGTCATGTAAATGCAGATAACTTATCTTCATTAAAGAAATATTTTTCTGTATAATAAATATAAAAATAGGAGTATGATAACTAATAACAGGTGTTGGTTTCAACATTCACCAAACGAACTTTAAAAATATAATTATTATTTTTTTTATAACAAAAATATAATTTTATATATTATATAATTTTATAT